TTTACCAGGAGTGGAATTCTTTTTGATCTTTTTATGAAAACACACTCACGCACGGTGACCGTTTTTGTCCTGATGACAGCTAAGTCCTAGGAAGTCACAGCCTCCCAGTGCTGGCTCCTCCCTCTGGAGCAGCTGCTTGGCCCTGTGTGGCGCTCCAATGGGTGGCAGGTTTGTTTGCTTCTTTATTTATTTGTTATAAAGCTCCAAGAAGATTTAGATTCACAGGAGGGTTATATTTTCTGTGGGAAGTTTACGTTTCCTGTCACATTTTCTTTTGGAAACAGTTGGACTCGATGTTAAATCTTAGTACTTGAACTCTCCACCCACTCAGTTCATGCTTTGTCTGTTTTGGTTTTTAATTTGGTTTGCCTGAATAATTAAAGAAGATTGTTCACGGGAGTAAACCCAGACCTCTCAGCGAGCGCACAGTTACCCCGAGGCCCTCTTCCCCGTGGGAGGCAATGAGGAATAGTCATTAAACCCAGGAATGCTGCAATCAGACCACCTGAGTGGAGGCTGCCTACCCCACTCCAGGCTCGCTGAGTTCTGCCTCTTAGTGAATTCATCTATCAGCACGAAATTGATAAAATGAGATGGATATACTTCACAAACTCAGTGTGACATGCTCTATGTAAATTCTTCATAACTCTCAACATACATTAAGCTCTCGGTGAGGGTTAGAACTCTAAATCACCTCAACAGATACCAGTCATATTTTATCCCATGCTTCCTTCCCAGAAAGGCTCACCCCTAACAAACCTGTGCTCTGAAATCCGTTTGCTAAGTTCCCAGGGGAAAAGACTTGGGGTAGCGCAAATCCTTCCCGGGGTAGCAGGAAATAGGAGAGTAACATTGAAAGCACTCAGTGTCCTGCTGTCTGGACCTTCTCCAGAGGCCCCTGTATTGGTGATGGGAGGGTACAGGGATCTGGGCAGGCGTGTATGGAGGAGCGGGCTGCTGTCCTTTGCTGGGGTTTGCTTGGATGTTGGGAACTTGGCTCGCAGTGTGGTGATGGAAGTTTTAGAGGATGATGTCAAAAACAAGGTCCTTGGGTCATGACCCCTCCACCCCCCAGACTCCCTGCTACCACCGCTGCACACGAGATTAAGGCAGTTTTTGTAGGACTCTTGACTGAGTTATGTGAGCTATTAAGATAGAACCTGATGCCTCCTCCTTTGTCTGCTTTGGACCTCAAGATGTGGCCTTTCCCCTGATGAGATGCTACGTGCAGCTGTCCTTCACCAAGGGACAGACCAAGGGATTGCCCAGTCTTACACGTCCAGCCTGCAAAACTACATGCTAAGTAAGCTCATTCCCTTAGCAATACCCTGCTTCACGTACGTCCTCATAATAACTGTGAACAGAATCAGGCAGGTTGGGTAAGTGCTCTTGGGAGGCAGAGGCAGATGGAACAGGAGAAGAAAGGTCATTCTTAGCTATATGTGAGGTTGTGGCCAGCCTGGACTACATGAGACCCTGTCTAAAAAATTAAAAGAAAGGAAAAGTCTTGCCTTTACCAGGCAGTGGTGGTGTATGCCAGGCAGTTCTCTGTGATTTGAGGCCAGCCTGGTCTACATAGGAGAGTTCCAGGACAGCCAGGGCTGCACAGAAAAACCCTGTCTCAAAAGACATAAAACAACAAACAAACAAAAAGGAGGGAAGGAAGGACAAGTCTTGCCTTTGCCTCATGGTTAGTCTGTGGGTCGCTTTGTTAGCTTGATACTGCACGATATGCGGAGCCAGGGCTGGCCCCAGCTTCACGTAGGCTCCTCTGTTGCTGCCAACTTCATAGTAGTTGGAGGCAGAAAAAATGGTTAACACCTGAATCAAAACGGAAGCGACACAGAATTTATGCATGCTGAGGGGCCTCCGTCCCTGATCCCATTGGCCAAACCTACATCCCGAGCTGCTTCTCACGCCCATCTGTGGCCCTTCCTCCCATCCGTCCCTCCTTTCTCCTCTTCCTCCTCCTCCTACACCCCTCTCTCTGTCCTCAATGCGATTAGGGAATTGTGACTTAAGTTGTAGACCCTTACATTGATTGGAGATCCATAACATGATTTCACATCTTTCAGTGCAGCCTAGAAGCAGGCTGGGTCTTATGAACTTGGACAGTGGTTATGTGTGCCAGGCAAATTACTTCTAAAGCTAGTGAGCTGCCCCAATGCAGGGTTTTCTTAAATTTTTTTTTTTTTAATTTGAGTGTGTGTAGCCGTATGTGAATTTACATGGTTGTGTGTGTGTGTGTGTGTGTGTGTGTGTGTGTGTGTGTGTGTGTATGTGTGTGTGCGTGCATTCATACAGTGCCCAGAAGTCAGTGTCAGATTCCTCAGAACTGGAGTCTCAGGTGGTTTTGAGTCCTAAGTGAAAAGGCACTCGTGCACACACACAGGCACACAGGCACACACTCATAAACCTTGAACAAATCCGAGCTGCCTTGAACAAATCCCAGGCACACCTGGTTGTCGGCTCCCAAGAGGAGCTTTTTGGAACCACCCCTGGAACACAGATCGGACAGCTGCAGAGGCTCAACCCACCTTGCGGTTATGGCAGAATTCATAGCCCTCAGGTTTGCATTCGTGGGAGCGAATCAGGAATTGTAACTTGTACTTCTCCAGCAACCGTTCTGTCACATCAGGCCCAAAGTAGCAGCCTCCTCCTCGGATAGTGTTGGCCTTGCAGCCTTCCTGAGCCATGGGATCACTCCACAGAATATCTACAACCTGGGATGACCGAAAGTCCACATCCACCCAGTCATTCACAGGGAAGACAGAGGGAGGGTGGAGGAAGTGGGGGAGAGGAAGGAAGAGAGGAGGGAAAAACAAGACAAAGTGCATAAATGTCTATGTAATCAATATTTGGTACATTTATATTCTGAAGTTTTATTTACACACACACACATATTTGTAATGTGATTGGGTGTTTTGCCTAAATGTATGTCTGTGTACCATGTGCTATAGTGGCCCAGGAGGCCAGAGAGGGTGTTGGTTCCCTGAGACTGGAATTACAGATGGTTGTGAGGAGCATATGGGTGCTGGAAATCAACCCAGGGTCCTATGGAAGAGTGACCAGTGCTCTTAGCCACTGAGTCATCTCTCTAGGCCCCCATGATTATATGTTGGATGCTTAGGGCTGCCTTTAAAAAGATTTGTCATATCCTTTTGTTGTTGGTTTGGTTTGGTTGGGTTTTTGTCTGTTTGTTTGAGATGTGGCCTGGCATGTGGTGAGTTCCAACACAGCCAGTGCTACATGGATTAACCCCATCTCAAAAGAGAAAAGAAACACTAAGACACCAGGCAGCTATTTAGGGGGCCTCCCTGACATGACCTTGCCCCTGTAAATGTCCCTTCCTCTATTTGCGCGCATCTCCCATTTTGGCAAGTGCTGGGCCACACTGTGTAGTGCCTACTCCATACCTGCCTGTCTTGACAAAATGGCTGTGTTTTGGGGGTAGCAATGTGCACAGCTTTATACACTTCCAGACTCCCTTGCAGCTAGGAGTGGCCAAATGACACAGTTCTAGAGATCTGGGGAAGCCCTTACTTTTCTGAAAACAGAGGACATAAGCTCCTGACTAGTTCTCTTGGTCTCATGCTAGAGCAGCCAGCTTGCTGCATAAAATTATCATAGAGAATAATCTACTAAGATAATAATAATAATAATAATAATAATAATAATAATAATAATAATCCAATAAGGTTTATTGGATCCATCCTCAGCTGATGTCAAGTCCTGGAACAGGAAATTTTTAAAGATTTATTTATTTATTTTATATATTATATAAATATATAACAATATATAGCAATACTGTTATATAAATATAAATGTATTTGTGTATATATATATTCATTACTTACTAATTTATTTTATGTATACACGTGCTCTGTCTGCCTGTACACCTGCAGGCCATAAGAGGGCGCAGATCTAGATGGTTGTGAACCACCATGTGGTTGCTGAGAATTAAACTCAGGACCTCTGGAAGAGCAGCCAGTGCTCTTTGCTGCTGAGCCATCTCTCCACCCTGCCCTGGAACAGCCATTCTTGGGCAACAGCCTCCTGCAGCCTCTCCCCACTCATTACAAAACCTTAACATGGTTATTAGGCAAAAATTAATGACCTTCTAATTCCTGATAGAAAGAGGGGTCTGGGAAAACCGCCCGCATTCACGCAGGAGTTTTCATCTGTGTGTCTCTCCTGTGGCAGGCAAATTCTCTGGCCATGCTCACCTGCTTCCACTCCTCCGGAGTGGGCTCCAGCGCCTCTCCCGCGGCACCCTCACAGTCGGCATCTGGGGCCACCGGCGAGGGCTCCCCCTTCTCTCGGATCCCTGGGAAGCCGGCTAGCTGTCGGCACCGCTCCAGTTCCAGGTCCACTGAGCGCCGCACGGGCCGGGATAGCTCCTTGGGGCCGACAGAGCCACAGGGGATGCTGCAGGACCGGCCGGCTTTGTGGGCCTTCAAGCCAGAGCCCGGGTGAAAAGGCGAAGAGGGGAGCGAGCGGCTTTGAGGAAGAAACCACGGGGTGGGTCTCTGTCCAGAGCTTGTCTGGGTGACTTTCCTCTTCTGCTCCTCCCCGTTCTCACTTTCCTTTCTCGTTTTGCACCTCATGGTAGAAACAATCTAAACGTGTCAAATAAATAAATGACAAACAGATGAACACACATGCGCGCGCGTGCGCGCGCACACACACATACACACACACACACACACACACACACACACACACACTCAGTTGCAAACTGAAACGGTAATCTTTCAGACTTCTGTTCTGGCCTTCAGGTCAGTCCTCAACCTTGGAGTCCACAGACAGCGCTGCTCTGTGCAGTGTTCCTGGGCCGAGGCCAGCACAGAGCCCGACAGCAACCCTTAGAAGTTCGTACAGCAAACCCGTAGAGCACCAAATGCAAACACAAGATTGGCAAGCTTACATCTTTTTTTTTTGGTTGCATTTCATGTTTAAACTATTCACGTCTAACATTATTTTTGCAAGGCACAGAATAACATCCGGTATCTGGCGGAAAACGAGCCGTGTGAGTGACCCCTGGGGCTGCACACCGCAGGCTGTCCTCACTTGTCAGTCACACAGCCTAGGTAAGGAACCCTTCTTTTGCTTGATAATACCCACAACTGGAAAAGCAGCGATGCAGGGTCAGGATCAGGGCATGAAACATGGACCGGCAATTCGCGGCTCTGACAAAGGGCACACAGGGAAAACAAAGCAAAACAAACAACCAAAAAATTATCCTATGTGTGGTCTGGCGCCATCTGCTGGAAGTCCGGGATCGCACGGCTCCATACAATCGTTTTGTAGAATAGTGGAAAGCCCAGTCTCCAAGGACAGGTAAGGGGAAACGCTATGATTGCTAAGACCTTACCTGCTACAGAAGGGACAGGGGAGAGGAAGAGGGAGCTCTTTAATCAGCTTGCGCTGCTGGTGGCTCAGTCATCATGGTGAAAAATAGACAGAATGCTGTTCTTAGGAAAGACAGGAGTCTGGTGCAGAACTGCGTGGCAGTGAACAAGAAGACGCCAACCAGGCCCGGGGCTGGCCTTCTTGGGCTACCTAGAAGGCTGAGGAGCTGTGGACTACCAAGAGTTCTGTGGGTGGCAAGTACGCCCAGGATTCCCCTACCCTCACCCCATCCCCGCAAATAGAACCAGGGTCACCCCAGGGTGGACTGCCTTAGGACAAGAACAAAGAAAGGTCCCGGAGAGGGCCAGCAGGACAAATGTGACTTGGAAAGAGTCCACAGGAGGCGTGTGTCCACGTGGGACAGGCACTATCAGATCATTTCCTAGCAGTTGAGAGAGAGAGAGAGAGAGAGAGAGAGAGGCTGAGGTCACCTTGTTCCTAGCCAGCCTCTCCTAACTGCAGACTCACAGCAAAAGGCCAGTCATCAGTGGATGACTGTCACCTGTCACCTCTCAGGAAAGTTGAAGGATTCCATCATCATCCACTCCCGGAAGTGGAGTCTTATAGAGACTTCCTATTGAGCCCTTCAGCCAAGGTGCTATCCTGTACAACGTTTGTAAGTAAGTCAGCCCACTTTCTCAACAGCGCTGCGAGAGAGTGTCATCGTTTACAGACAGCCAGGTAATCTGAGACACAGAGAGAGCGAGGCTCTTCCTGCACTGGTTCCAGAAAATCAGATTGGAGCGTCCCCCTCCTCTGTACTCTCCCCAAGGGCTCCCCAGGTAGTACAAACTGCTGTGCCAGTGCCATCACAGAGCTTTGCCAACCAAATGTTAGGAAGTTAGCGTGTGCCAAGCCATGAAAATAAACCCTTCCTTCGGCTCCTTCCAACGTTCCTCCCACTAATGTTTTCACAATTGCATACAGTTCTCCCTAAGAGATAACTGGCTCTTGCTGTAGCTTGCTGTCTCGATTTTCAGACAGAAGCATAGCCGAACAGAAGGTTTGAGATCAAAGTTTGGGAAATATAGAGCTTAAAGAAAACCAGGTGCCAGGCAACATGAGGATTTAGCAGGGGAAACTCGGCTAACTGGCTTTCAGTTTTAGGGATCTACGCTCTCACAGATGTAAGTGGGCGGGGGGGGGCAGGAGGATGGAGAGAGGAGGAGATGGGCGAAAGGGCAAAGTGAAATGGAGTATGGGGGCTGGAGAGACGGGTCAGCAGTTAGGAGCATCTGCAGTTCTTACAGCGGACCCAGGTTCAGTTCCCAGCACCCACAAGGCAGCTCACAACAGTCTGAAGCTCTAGTTCCAGTCCCATGGACTCACGTGACCTCTGCAAACACCACAGGGTGTGCATACATCTGTAAGTGTGGAGGCTGAATAGACTGCTCAGCAGGTAAGAGTAACAGCGTTTGCTGTTCTTGTATAGGCCCAGAGTTCAGGACCCAGCACCTGCGTCGCTCACAGCCACCTGTAACTCCAGTTCCAGAGGCTCCAACACCTGCTGTCTTCTGGCCTGCACAGACACCCAGAGCCCTAGAAAGGTCTTTAAACATCAATGGCCCTTAGGATGTGTGCAAATGCCGTAAGGAAACCTGCAACATTAGCCGGGCTGAGCACGCACTTGTGGTCCCAGCACTTGGGAGGCACAATGGGGAGACATCACAAATTGGAGGCCAGCCTTGACTACACAGTGAGTTCTAGACCAGCCACAAATTTAAAAAAAGAGAAAACAAAACCAACCAACCACCAACCAAAATACAAACAAAACCAAACGCAAAACAAAACAATGTGGTGGTGCATGCCTTTAATCCCAGGCTAGCCTGGTCTACAGAGAGAGTCCAGGACAGCCAGGACTACACAGAGAAACCCTGTCTCAGAAAAACAAAACAAAACAACAACAAACAAACAAACAACAAAGCCCCCACCAAACAAACAAACAAATTTGAAAGGCTGAAATGCCCCCAAAGCAGAAAGTGAGCCAGTGAATGCTACCGAGCTCTCTTACCAGCATATACTAAATATCTATCTTTTTCCTCTTAGATCATTGAGTTTGGGTGTACAGTGGTATATAAGTTGTCTCTTGGTCTTTGGATCACAAGAAGTCACACCAGACCCTGATAGGCAGAACGGAAGTACAGAAGTACCTTGGACTCCGAGGTAACTTAAGTGTGGAAGCCAGGTGCCATGAACCTGGTTCTCTGTGGTGGAGGAAGAGCCTGCAGAGAAGTCTGGGAGGCCACATTACAAACAAACTGACTCCTATCTTCCTCTCTATCACCCTTAGGAACGGGCACCCTGGGAGAGACTGTTACTGCAAACTTTCCTTGCGGTTTGAACACATTCTTGTGAACTACAAAGGAAAAGAAACCCTGGGTACCACTCAGTGTCCATAGAAGAGAAGAGTGTGCCTTTTCCTTCTTCTGTTCTTTTTACTTGACTAGAAGCAACTGGCGCTCACGCGGCCATCTTGGACCATGATGTGCTGTGGCAGGTCAGCAAGACAGAATTCCCAGTTTCTAAGAGGCTTTGGGATGTTGCTATAGAGCTTCGTTCACACAAGGAAGAGATAGACATGAAACACCAATGTTTGGACCATTCTGCCTGTGCCAAATGTAAGCACGGTTTTATAAGCCGTGTATAACACGCTTGACATATGTGCATTTAATCTTCACAATGCCAATAATATAGCTCATTCACATCCTCATCATACAGGCTAGCCTGTCCAAGGTCACAAACTCCAAGCAACACAACCAGGATTTTTATCCTTTTCTGCCTTACGTTTCAAGCCAGGCTTTGGCCACTCAAGTAACTCTTTCTTACTTGCATACTTTGTGGCAAAGACTATCATTCCCTTCTAGACCTGTCTTCCTTGTTCCTTCTCACAGGATGGAAACTGCAACTTTCTTGCTGGACAGACGTCCAACCACAAAACAGGCCATTTCCAGCCTCCCTTCAAGTGTGGGGGTCACTATGTAGCCACAGTCCGATGGGGGGAGGGGTGTGGAGTCTGTGCAAGTTCTGGATTGTTTTGGAAGGGGCAAGAACACTGTTTCCCCTTCCCGTTCCTCCCTAGTGTGCAGGCCCTGGGTACAGCAGCACATTTTCTTGGCAATACGGATCAAGGCTTGGAGGTGACACCCTAAGATGATCCCTTAGACAGTGTCACAGCACAAAGTTGCCATGTCGCCTGATGACTGAAAATTCCAAGACTCAAAGCTCGAAAACCGCGTGCTGTCCTTCCTACGCGACCAGCCCCACTGCAGACACTCAGGAAAGTGCCGCAGAGAATGCCTGGGACAGCTGGAGGGAGGCTGCATGAGGTGCGTGAAAAGTACAAGAGTTATTAGGAAAGAGATGCAAAGCTTCTGTTTTCTGGGTCTCGATTTCTAAAGTCAAAGGGACGACGGAAAGCCATTGCTCACCAGCTATGCTCCACACCATATCACTTCCTACCCTTCTGCCAGCACACGGAGCTGTTGTAGGCACCTGGAGGGCAGACGGGGTCTCCGGGTCATTTTCATGTCTCCTCAGCATAGACTTTGCATGTGGCAAGCAAGCACCCTCCCCCTATGTGTTCCGGGTGCTGAATACACCCGGGTCGAATTTAGTGAAAGGCGATCGGGATAGGAATTATTTGGGAGCTAGAGGCCCCTCTGGTATGATGATAAGGGGCTGTGATTAGAATGACCTAGATGAAGGATGGCAAAAACACAGCGCTGGCTGCTGTGTGTCCCCTTGTGTGCTTGTGACGGACATTGCCAACGGATCGCGGCACACTTGCTCCCTGGGGACAGCTGTGGACCCCCAGCCCTTTCTCCACACTCAGCGCTTACAGTGCCGCTCCCCTCACACCGACAGTGAAGCCGGACAGACGGTGAGAGGCTAAGCCACACTGAGTACCTTGTGCCGGTCTAGCTTAGCCAGAAGTTCCAGGTCAGTCCTGTCGGAGACCCCACCGTGAAGGACAAGGACTTTCTCGTCAACCAGAGTGGCCAGCGGGAGCCAGCAGAAGACGTCTTGAAGGATCCTGAGGATTTTCTTCCCGTGCGTCTGAAAAACGACACCGGCAGGATGTTCAGCTTCACGGAATCAGGGTGAAGGGGAAGCGCGACTCTGAGAGGGGCTCACCTTATACTTATGCATCACTTCCTTGGTGAAGCCGTATCTGCACACAGAGGCAAAGCACACGGGAAGATGCGGTTAGTGACAGAAGCCATGGCGCCATCGCATCTCATAAAAATGTTTATTCTGTTCGTGTGCCCTCAAGACATGTAAAAAAGAGGCAGAAATAATCACCAAGAAGTTCAGAGTTTTGTCGCTGTTTCTGGGTGGAGAAATTACGAGACATTAGAATTCTTTTCTTTTTGTTTATCTAGATTTCCTACCCTGTGTGAATTGAGTTTTTGTTTACACGCTTAAAAAATTTTGTTATTGTTTAAAGCTAAAGATATTAACATGTAGAAATATAATGTTCTTATTCCAATGGTAAAATAACATGGAATTAAAAAATTAAAAAAATATTATATAGTGTGTGTTCTTTCATAAATTAAAAAACTTTTATTTTTACCTCAAAATTGAACCCAGGGCCTTGTGCGTGCTAGACAAGAGCTCCATCCCTGAGCTGCAACCCTAGCCCTAGGAAAACTGTGTTTAAAAGGCTCTAAAGTAGGGTGGTCTAGAGAGGTAACATTTTTACAACTGAAAGGAAGCACCCAAACAGCTGGCGGGTCTGGGCTTGTACCGTAAGTTCACCAGGTGGTCCTCGTGGTTTCCTCGGTTAAGGTGGAACTCTTTGGGGTAAACCAACATGAAGGCAAACAGAACCATCAAGACCTCCACCGAGTCCTTGCCTCGATCCACAAAATCACCGTTGAACACATACGCCCTCTCTGGCGATGGTAGGCCATTCTTCCATTTGGAGATGAGTCCACGAAGAGCCCATGGGGTAAGAGAAGAGCACATTAGGCCAAAGGCAGCAGGCAGCACGTGACGGCTAAGTCAGAGCCATAGCCAGGCCCCTGATCCCTGCTTCCTCCACATGGGAAATAGCAGCAAAAGGGGAATTATTTTCCCCCACGGTGTTCTATTCCCTTCCCAAAGAGCTGAGGTTAGGAGATGTCCATCAGAATTGACGTTTGATGCAGAGACACAGCATTGCTGTGTGGCCTGGACCAGTGGATGCTGTGCTCCTGACATGGAAGCCACTTTCAGGTTCCATAATAGTGCTAACAACTGCCTTGGACTCATCGGGGTTAAATAAGGTAATACCAGGCTAAGCCAGGTAGCCTACACCCGTAATCACAGGAAGGCAGGAAGGATCAAACTAACATTTGGATTTGCCTAAAATTTACGAACGTAGAGCAAAATAGAAAGCAAAGGTGACTTTTATACCATGTGTTGGTGTGTAGGCACAACATAACACATGCCATTTTAAAATAATTTATAGAAATATAGGCAACTGGGGCCAGAGAGGTGGCCCAGCAGTTAAAAGTAGGGGCTGCTGTGGGCCCTGTTGCCTGTTTTTCAATCCCTTCCTCCTGGTGGGGGGCCACCTGGACAGGCCACAGAGGAAGAAGATGCGCTCAGTTGGGATGTGACTTGATATGCTGGGGTGGGTGAGTGGGGTCTCCTTCTCTGAGGAGTAGGGGAGGGGGGAGAGGGGAACAGGGAGGGAGGTTAGAATCGAGAGGAAAGGTGGGAGGGGTCTACAATCATGATGTAATTAAGGGCTGCTCTCTTACAGACAACCCAGGCTTGAGTCTCAGCATTCACATGGCGGCTCACAACCATCTGTAACTCCAGTTCCAAGGGATCCAGTGCCCTCTCCTGGACTCCGTGAACACTGCATGCATGCAGTGCACAGAAATACGTGCAGGCATAAAAACAAACAAACAAACAAAAAACTACACAAATAAAATGAAATAAATATTTCTAAATACAAGCAATAATGGCTAAGCATTTGTGTAATGGAGAGTATACTTTTAAAGTAAGCCTCAGCGCAAGAATGCAACTTAATTTGAATGTTCATACCTTATAAAATATAAATATTAAGTCATCCAACTGGCCATGTAGATCTCCTAACAAAGAAAAAGAATTTTAGTTCATGCTGACCCTTACTTTAACAAGAAAAATACTGTGCCTAAAAGTATCGGACAAAGTTAGAAACCTACTAATTTAGAGAGAATTGCTTTGATGTCACCTCATTGCAAATGCAGTTATTATTGAAAAGCAGAAAACAAACAGTAAAGACTCATGTTGTTACTGCAGCAAAGGTGGGGCAGAATAGTACAAGGCACTGCTGGGGCCTTAAATCACTTCAGTTAGAAGCTGACACTCACTTGTGGACCAGTGTTGGGGGACTGTTCAAGAGAATTTACAAAATCCAAACCTTAACAAGAAATCTCCTTCCCACATGTTGAAACAATGATTTTTACGTTTCAGATGCTTGCAGGGTGAGCAAGACCTAGCCACTGGACTGGTTCACACCCATTGCCTGCATCTCCCTCAGCTGGGTGTGTGTGTGTGTGTGTGTGTGTGTGTGTGTGTGTGTGTGTTTCCGTCCACATGGATGCTACTGAGCAAACAGAAGAAGATTCGGCACAATGGTGCAGGATAGAAATAATAGCTCTGTAAGCCTTGAAGTTTCCCAAGTACCCAGAAATACAATGTCTGCTCATATAAAAAGGTTGGGTGGGGTTGTTCTCAGTGTGGATTGTGAACTTGGAGTCACTAAGAATTGCTTCTCTGGACCACGTCTCCTTTAAGTAAGTGAGGGACAAGTAAGTGAATGGTCAGCTGAAGGAGACACGGTTGGACTTGCTCACCTGCTTTCTCTCCTCCCTCTGGCTCAGCTCCTTCTCCTGTCCCCTCTCTATGGTAGGCTTTTCCCATGTGTGTCCGGCCAGGGATGGCGGCTCCCACCAGCACTTACCACACACTGTGACCTCCTCGCTGTAGCAGGTGGAGACCCGGTTGATGTTCGGTAGCTGGGCCAGGTGTTTTCTGGCCTCATACAAAAGATTCAAGACGTAGCGGGCATGGAGCTGCTACCAGGAGGAAGGGGCGGGATGCAAGGACACAGCACCATCAGGCCCCGCTTTGGCTGGCGAATGCCACCAAAAATGCCACCCCAGACCCCCAAAGGAACCCAGTCAACTGTGGATGCTTCACCCAACTCTGCTTTCCTTTCCACTTTTCTCCTCCCCCATTTGTCCCTTGTGGAAGCACTGAGCTGCCTCCTCTTTGCTGTCTAGTCTATAACACTTTTCTTTGCCCTCAGGGAGCAGTGCGTGACTGTAGTAGCAATGTATGAATTAGTGCGCGTACATGGATGGTGTGAACGAATCCCGACATTCCCGAGAGACAGCATCTGCACTGCTTCCATCTTGTCAGAGAAGGCAAGGACTGTCATCTCTGCACCTCTCAGAACTGAGCCACTGGGGCTTCAAACCAAGACACTGTTTTGCTTGGACCATTGTCTGCTGGCTCGTCTCCCTGCTTCTGGCCTCACCTTGCATGCCAGTCTCAACTTGGCAAGAGCTGTAATTTTATTATTACACCAGACAGGTTCTCACTATGAACCCCTGACTGTCCCAGGGCTCGCTATCTAGACCCAGTTAGCCTTGAGCTCACAGAGATCTGCCTGCCTCTGCCTCCCAAAAACTGAGATTAAAGGCATGTGCCACCAGGCTCTGATGCACAGTGACCGTTCTTAAAGAGCAAGCGGGAATATCCCTCCTTCACTTCTGCCACCGCAACTCTTACTTGTCCCCTGGATTCCTCCTTGCTAACCACAGTGGCCTTCCTGAGGTCCCCGGACAGCCCTCGAAGTTTCTGCCTCAGTGCCATAGCACTTGCTCCTCTACTCAGAACATCGTTCCCAGCGATCTCAGCTGCATCCCCCAGCAGCCGGACCTTCGCTCTCCTGGGATTCTGCAAAACTGCCTTCTCTCCGCCCCCTCTTCCTTATCTCTCAATACTTCCTGTGCTACCACATATGGACTCTTTAGTTTATTATTTCCTACCCCACTAATAGGTCAGGGGCTCGAGGGTAGCTGCATCCCCAGGGCCCGATCGGTGTCAGCCTCCCAGCACTCCTCATTAGCTTCCTGGATGCTGAATGAACAAAACAGCGAAGGTTTCCATCTTAGAGGCTGGCTGACGGGCCACAGGAATCTGCCTACACTTCCAGGGCTGGGCTCATCTGCCTTTACTCATGGATATGAGTTGGGAGGGGCCCACGTTCGCGCTTCAGCTTACTTGTCTCAGCCTGAAAGCTTCCACCAGGGCGGTGGCATGGTCAGGAAGAAGGGGAAAAGAGAGGTGCGGCCCTGTGTAGCTGTCTGGCACCTCTATGGACTCATAGTCGCCGCCCTCCTCTGTCTCCACATCCTGGGCGAACCTTTCCTCAGTAAACATGCGGTTCAGGAAGTCTCCTAGTTCAGACACAGAGGGCAAAGGCACGCCAGCTTAGGAGCAGACTTTGAGGGACCGTTAATGCCAAGGGGTGACCCTGCTGGTGTGGCACTGGCTCCAGCCCAGGATATCACAGGGGAACCAAAGTGAGGTGAATAAGGAACGCAGGAGGAAGGTTACATTTCTGTGTTGGTACAATCATTTACTTTTTAAAGATCACCAGAAATAGGCAATGGAGAGAGAATGGCTCCACTGTTAGGAGTGTTTGCTGCTCTTCCAGAGCACTCGAGTTAAGAATCCCAGCACCCACATCCGTCTCACAATGGGAGGATCTGCTGCCCTCTTCTGGCCTTCCCAGGCACCTGCATCCACACGTGCATACACACGACTTAAAAATAAATGCTTTTTAAAAATCAAAAGGTGGGTCAGAGAAAGTCCAGAAACACAGAGGCCTGTGACAGCAGGAG